CTTTTACTTCAACAATAATCAGCAGTGTTTTCTTTAAAACAAGACTAAACTTAAGTCTTTATTCCAAAGCATTCTTCAATTACAACCAAGTTTCAATAGTGCATTGTAATGTCCATTCTCAAAAAGGGGAGTGGCAATTAACCGTTATGTGCCAAATCAACCGGTTGAGCATGTTTTTGAAAAATTATTAAAAATATACTTTTTTTTTTCATATAGCACCAAGTGACATCATTTTGTAAAGTTAGGGCTTTTACAGTGTAATGTGTACCAAAAAAAAAAAAAAAAAATATGCTTAGCTTGCAAAATTTCACCAAAAACATTTCACATGGCTGGTGTGATTTATTTGTTTCTGACATCCATGTTAGAAGAAGTGTTGTGACAAGTGCTGTTGATTGACACTGAAATCTAGTAGTATTTTTTATTTATTTATTTTTTTTGGCATAATATACCTCAACCAGATGATAAAGATGGCTCAATCAGTTTGAGTTAGTAGATGCTCCTCTCAGTAAAATATAGTGACTCAAAATGTGCTCAACCGTTTGGTTCAGTTCAGTTAAAGGGATATTAGTTGAGTAGCCTAATGTAGGGAATAGTGAGCGAGGGCAGGCCCGGATTGGCCAGATAGTAAGGATGCTCGATAACTTCCGCCGATCGAGTCCAATACAATACCGATAATTTATATTGAATTTTATACTCTATGGCTATAATAAAGAAACGTTAGTCACAAAAACAGACTAAACAGACACCCCTCGTTGTGTTTATGCTTCTTTCAAAAATTATATAAAATAAACCTAACTAATTGCATCTAAACGTATGAAAGTTTCATTTCAAAGACGGGAGGACAGTAGATTTTGAAGACTCTGCCATTATCCCGTTTTCCCCGGTTTTCCTTTGCTTTAATCTCCGGAAAATGACGCTTGCGTCAAACGCGGATGCGTGCATATAGCCCATTCTGGCACATGCCAGAAGGGCCGGTGTGATTTTTTTTATTGTTTTGGGCCGAGACACAGATAGTTGCGTGTTCTGAGTCAGTTAACACAGTCAGAGCGTAAAAATACGGGATATTTTTAGGGATGGCTGACGCGAAACAGACGTTTCGAAGCTTTGCGAGATCCGAAGCGCAGATGATTCGAAACACTGAACCGAAGCGTGATTCAAAACACCTACGTCACGTGACTTATCAGGTGGAGCGTTCCCCCTAATCAGAGTTGAAACCCGATGCTGGGTCAAAGACGCTGCGCTTACAAAAGTGTTTGGGAAGTTTGGAGATCCAGAAGGATGTCTTTACATTGATCTTGTTGTTACACTCAAAGCCCTGAGCGAGAAAGACAACATGAATCCGACTGTGCGTGCGAAGGCCGACGGTTATGCAGAGGCTCTGCTGAAATACCAAACCACCCTCACTGCCCAGACGTTTGTACGCATCTTCCAACAAACAACTCCACTTTCCAAGTATTTGCAAACTAGTGAAATGGATTTGCTCACGGCCCATCGCTTTGTCACAAGCACACAAGACAATCTGGAAAAATATGCAAGGGATTTTAAGGGGGTAAAGACAGCAACAGACGCATTTGTGCAATGGGCCAATGGAGAATTAAACGTGTGTGAGACAGACAGAGGTGGAACATGCGCTGCCAAACCGGAGACCAAAGAAGACAAAAAAGATGTGATGACACAACCATATCAGATGCTGACAGCAAGTATGAGGTACAAGTGCACAATGTCATTCTGGATACCATCATTGAACGTATTTCCCAACGTTTTGCTGAAAACAGAGAACTATAAACAGATTTCGCCCTGCTTGATCCCCAGAATTTCCATGACTTGAAATGTAACGGTGTACCTGCAGACGCACTCAATGCCCTGAGCGCCAAACTGATCAGACACGATAGCAGAGCAACTCCTTAGCCTGGCTACGCACTGGGACAAGCTGAAGGTGTCTGTGCACGAAGGCTATCTGACCAAGATGAGTACTGAGGATGGGATGATGAGCAGACTCAGATGAAGATTGGGATGTGAACAAAACCTGCCAATCTTGCAGAAAATGCCATCTGTTGTTATTATGTCCTACAAACCTGCTCACTGACTCCTACCATCTAATCGGACTTGCATACAAGTTTCTGTTAACTCTGTGACACAAGTTGCATGTGAGCGAAGCTTTTCCACGTTAAAATTCATCAAGACTCGATTAAGGAGCACAGCGGAGGAGCATCTTGAAGCCTATGTTGATGGCAATCGAAAAAGAGACTCTGGTTTCGTTGGACACGGATTGCATCATTGATAGAAGAGCGCCCTGATGCAACGGCTGCTGATTTAATCAGGTAGGTCATGCTTCTTTTTATTATACCAGTATTTTCCGCACAATAAGGCGAAAATTTTTTCTAAAATAGGTCATTCGTTGAAGGTGCGCATTATAATCCGGTGCGGGATATATTTTAAACATTTATATTTTTACATTTTTGTTTATATAATTTTTAGTTATATTATTAGGGCCATTTATTCATTTAATTTTACAGCAGTTTCTGTGTACAATGGTTATAAGCCCATTTAATTTTTTATTGTGCGCGTTGAGTAAAAGTTCAGTTATCAAAATTCTGGCCTAGTTACTTTTAAAACCTTATAGTGCGGAAAATACGGTATATATTCTATTGTGCTTTGGTCATGGTCCTTTTTCTTAAGCAGTTGTGTTGTGTGCGTCGGGCCGCTGTGCCATGCTCGTGAGCGTGTGTTTTTGGCCGCTGTGCCACGCTTGTGTGCTTGTGTTTTTGGCCGCTGTGCCATACTCGTGTGTGCTGTGAGGGTCCGAAATAAACTTTTTAGCTCACCTGCCACGGGGACTGGTAGATGAAAAAATTCACCAGCCAAGCATTTTTTTTTTTTTTTTTTTTTTACCGGCCAAAATAATAAACAGTATTTTTGTGTCATATAGGCTATACATTAATTTATATATATATAGGCTTATTTAAACATTTTTTGTCATTATATTTCTGGTCTATTATTTTCCATTCTTACTTTTATATACACACATATTACACAATTTACACACATTAAAATCATATTTTCTGTTGGGGCGCCTATGAAAATAGTTCTGTACGAATTAAATGTATTAATTGTATATTAAATAAATAAAATGTAAATAAATAATAAGATAAAATATATGCAATAATAATTCTATACTATAATTATATTTAAAAAATAGTTTTACTCTGCCTATTTTTTTACTCCATTTACCCTGATTATCCGATCAGAAACTGAAGGACTGGGAATATCCATAGACAGTCAAAGGAAATATCAGTTGTTTTAACCATTCATTAAAATGAATCGGTAGCTCGAGAATTGGACGTGTCATCATCGGATGTGCACGCGTTGTGTGATTATCCCGGCAGGCAGCTTGGACATCCAACACGTTTTGTATTCAACACAGAAAATAATTCATCACTGGATAGTTTTTTATTTATTTATTTATTTGTTTTATTTAAAGTGTGGTTTAACTTAAGTCGGCTGAATGTGCGAACGCTTTTCAGAGAAGTTTTTTAAGCACAATTCTCACCCAGCGGTAATGCAGTCATATAGCCTATATATAGGTAGGCTAGGCCTATATTTCCACATGAAACTATGGTCCGATGTTTTACCATCGTGTCAATTTGATTAATATGTGTAAGGAGAGAAAGCAAGAAGGCGCTTTGGAGACGGTGGTGAAGCCTTGTTTAAACTTTCGCCTGCCTCCAAAGAGAAAGAGTGAGTGCGCGCGCTCAGTTGCGCCCTGTCATCCCGCAAACACAACAACTGCGTCATGTCCATAGCCATCATGCCAGGTATTTTGCAGATAAAATGCAATTGTAATCAACATTTTATTTCATTACTATTTTGTAATGAACACTCACCCACCAGTGGGGCGGATAACCTTTTGAGATTTACTCGCCAAACTGAAAATCTACCCGCAATTGGCGCTTTGCGGGTGTTAATTTCGGACCCTGTATGGACTAAAGTCTATGCGCCTCAGTCTTATATCATGCCTACAGACTACAGTGTGAAAGTCATTGTTGCCTTGGATGTTGTGTCTCAGTGGGGAAAATGTTCAGTTTCTGGGGACTTTTTTTTTTTTAAACGTCATCAATTAGTTGGGCCGGTGAAAACCACAAATGCCAGGGCCGAATTTTGGTCCCAGTCCGGCCCTGAACGAGGGCAGGGGGTGATTTTGAACACACCACTGGTTTATGAATATCTTTTCTTTGCTTTGTTCCTGAATCTGGAGATGGTGTACTCTTTCAGAAGATTCGTAAGAGCGCCCCCTACCCTATAACAGTGAAAAAAATGGACTGCCCGAAAAATTGTCAATGGCGGGGAAAGGGTTAAGACTGCCATTGCTCGGGAAAACAGACCACGCCTCCGAGCGCATACCATTGGTTGAGTTAATGTTGGCGTCAAATATGTGACATATCAGCTTCAAATAGCCTATTTGATATTTTTTTTTTGGTCCCATCGCATTTTAGGACATCTAGCATTTTTCAGAGAGCTGTATTTCTCTTTTCAGTAAACGTTCACTGCCACACCAAGGGAATGTAATATGTAGGGGTTGAAATAACATTTCTTGTGGCTATCCTACAACAGAAAGGCACCCCACTGCTATGGGACCGACTGACGATATAAGAAAACTACCCACGACTGTTTCATCCAACTGCTCTTACGAACCATCTCTCAAAACTGCTTAAATTCAAAGAGTTCAAAGGAGTTCACCGTGACAGCTTTATTGCTGCAAATCGAACTGAAATTATCCAAGTCGGTTATTTGCAGAGACTGCAGGCAAAGTAATTATACATTGGGATTAACATCTGTTAAAATAATTGTGTATGTTATTACTTATACAAAAATATAGAAATAAGTACACGTTTTAACAAACCAGATACGGTACATTTAGCTAATGTTAGCACATGTTTGTCATATTTTATGGTTATTGCTCTACATGATTGCATATGCAAGAGGTGTTTTGTTGTACTGACCTCTTCCAGTTTGATTGTGATCATAGTGAAGGCTCTGAACACACATTCTGTGGCGCCCGTGATGGTGATGATTCTCTCTGGGCACGAGCCTTCGGAGATGTTGATACGTGCACTGCTCTGTATGGGTGGAATAGTAAAAGCGCATAAATGAATGGGGTGTACACTGGAAAAAAAAAATGTGTTGAAATTTTCTTCTCGGAAATTGCTAGAAATTTCACAACTAATTAGTAACATTGAATTAAGTATAAAGACAGATAGCATTTGTTTGTAAAAATATACTTGATTATAAATCATAATATGAGAAACCTAAACATTTTACTTTTCTCTCAACTCATTCTCTAAAGCATTTTAATCGTATATACATAGTGAAGTAGTGGCCTTGCATTTCTTGTCCTCTAAAAGGAAATATTCTGTGTGTGTGTGTTTAAAGTGGACCTTTCGAAATGTGCTTTAGAAACTTTTTTTGTTTGTGAGTGCACTTTTTACTTTAGCACATAAAATATTAACAAAAATGTATTTTCTTTCTACATCAGGTGGGATACCAGCACTAATTGAACCACCAACTGTTATTTTACACTGCAAGTTGGGAAAAAACCTTAAATCCATAATTAAGGTGCACTAGGCAATACAACAATAAATCTAGTTTTAGTTTCGGTATTCAACCTTGCGAAAAAAAAAAAAATAATAAACCACAGCACATCCCTATCCAGACGAGATTAGATTTCTCAGAGGATGCTCGAGAAAATTGTAGGCAATTTGTTCTGTTTTCGTGTGAGAAAAACACAGGCCTGTTCGATTCGGATGGGATTAAACTCCAAGTACGTCTATGAAACACAAATGTACCTGACCTCCTCGGGGAAACTAGTTCTGTTGGCTGTTAGATGTGGGTATCACGTGTTCTGTCCAAATGTGTGGATCTCCAGCGGAGCTCTGACTGTCAGCTTCACTTAAACTGATCTCTCAATCAATCAAATGCATGCAAATGCAACTGTTTATCAGTGGTATAATTTACATATTTAATAAAATGTATGTATAATGCACTTTTCTTTAAGACTTAAAGTATAGTTCAGGTATGACTTTGCAGACAAAAAGACAAGGTATATATATATATATATATATATATATATATATTATATATATATATATATAATTTATTTTTTATTTAATTATTTATTTTATATATTTATATATTTATTTATAATATATTAATTATATTTATTTATATTTATTTATAATATATATATATATATAATATATATATATATATATTATATATATTATATATATATATATATATATATATATATATATATATATATTATTTATATATTCATATTTAATTTTATTTATTTAATTTTATTTTTGTAAATGTTTCGCTTTATTTACTGGTGATTTCTGCTTTATTTATGAATGTGATAATAAACTGATTTATTCAACAATGCATTTTTTTAAGACTTGTATAGTTCAGGTGTGACTTATTTTCCAGAAAATATTTTAGTAATATAATGTTGGACTGACTGCTTGAGGTTTGAACTTTGCAGACAAAAAGACAAGGTATTATTTATATATATATATATATATATATATATATATATATTTTATTTATTTTTTATTTTTTTGAAATTAAGTTTTTATTGGTGCATTTAATGCTTCATTCCAAAGAAGTTTGGAAAATCGTACACAAAATCTATTTTTTTAAATTTGTTTTTATTTTTATATTTTAGTAATATAATGTTGGACTGTTTGAGGTTTGAACTTTCCAGACAAAAAGACAAGGTATTTTTTATTAAAAAACTAAAAAATAAGAAATATATATTTTTTATATAATTTATATATGTATTTATTAACATATTTATTTTATAATATAAATATTTATTTTTATATTATTTATATATTATTATTATTATTATTTTTTATTTATTCATTTTAATTTATTTTTGTAAATGTTTTGCTTTTTTACTGGTAATTTCTGCTTTATTTATGAATGTAATAATAAACTGATTTATTCAACAATGCATTTTTTTAAGACTTAAAATATAGTTCAGGTATGACTTATTTTCCAGAATATATATTATAATGTTGGACTGTTTGAGGTTTGAACTTTGTAGACAAAAAGACAAGGTATTTAATATATATATATATATATACCCAAAAACTACCATTTTCACATATTTTACTCACATTCATGTCATTCTAAACCTGTTTCTTCAGAAGATTTGGATTATAGTGCACTTTTCTTGTGCTTTTTTGCTAGCTTTAAAGTCCCTGGTAACTGTATGTTTTTGTTGTATGGAATACAGAAGTGTTCTTCAAAATGTCTCCTTTAGGAAGAAAGTACATGGTACATGATGACAGACTTTCTTTTCAGGAAGAGCTATTCCTTTTCCTAGTTATAGCACTGAACAGCAGATAAAAACATCCATTTGCAATATCTTCTGTTAATGACATCCATCGGGCCCAGGATTGACCCCTGTGGTGTCCCAACTAATGCAATAGAACAGGCCTCATGTGCAGACTTGCGTTCACATTTTCCACTTTGTCTCAAACCATTAATTAGGTTGAAGAAAACAGTATTTTTGTCGTTTTATGTTGTAAGGAAGAAAAAACCTTTAGGTAAGGGTGCAAGCGAGCTAGAGAATAAGAGACGATGGGTGCTTTGTTAGCTCATGAAGAATTTCTACTGATCATCATATATTTATATATATACACACTCGGAGGGACATGTTCACCCACGCCTGGGTTTTTCAACTTCAATCTTTATCCGGAAGCTATTGTTAATAGCAGCTACCTTGAAAATACCAAAGCATTCATATCAAACTAATGAATTAATGGTCGCAGCGTATGCGCTGTCATGCGCCCTTGAGATGAAAGGCTTCATTTAAATATTAATGTCTTCTGCAGTCTTTCAGCGTTAATGTGGCGGACATCAACTGTTATGAGGATGTACGTGGGAAATAAGTCCTTTTTTCCCGGCGTAAAACCACATTTATGTGTAGAAATCCATGTAGCGCCAGCTTCAAAGGAATGCCGTCTGTTCTGCATGCTGGGAAGCGGAGAAAGACAACATCTACGAGTAGCATGTGGCTTACCTCCTCTCGTATCCTTTTCACCGTCTCTCCTTTCTGTAGGGCGAGAGAAAAAGAAGATCATAAAGCACTCATTGCCTTTCTCTCATGTTTGTTTGTGTGATATGTTGTTTCCCCAGAGAGACTGTCTTTCACAATGGCTTATAGTGGAGGATAAAGTGAGATTGACTAGTTGAACAGATAGCTGAAATTAATATCAATTCTGCTTCGCTACACAGCAATATGGCATCTGCATGCATAGGCCTCAGGGGAACAGGTTTTCCAATCGAAGGCTCTGCAATTGGACTGACTAGGGAATCAATAGTCCATGAATCACTTAGATAGCCTCAGATAGTGTCTCGCTATCTCAGATACAGAAGCTAACGTGTACGGCATAGTCACGACTGCGGATCCGAGGATCTGCTTTAACACGCTTGACTGGCGTTTCATTGTCTTTAGATGGGGTGAAATGATGATTGGATATGTCATAACAGAGGTGAAGTGGGACTTGGGTGGTTTTAATTTATCAAGGAAATTGAAATTCCACATGAGATTTTTTCGAGGCCACCCATCTTATAAATCCACCCTTAATGCCACAACACAAATATCATGCCTCAAAGTTGAACTCAAACTGCTGACACCATATTTTGTTTGATTTGAACAAAAACAAGGCTGTGGAAGATCACAAGTACAGTTTGTTACAATGTGTCGCACAGTTGCGTACTTGTATGCTGACCATTTGGCGAATGAAACTTAAATAACAAAAATGATGAAATGTTTTATTATGTTTTGGTATTCATCAATGTGCACTCTAAAAAATGCTCGGTCATTTCAACCCAAATTTGGTTCAAATATGGACAAACCCAGATGTTGTCTTGAATTATTATTATTATTATAATTTTTTTTTTTTTTTAATTAGAGTTGAAAGTGAAAGTTGACGTTGGGTTAAAATTTGAAATTACATTTTTAACCCAACATTTGGGGTTTTTTAACCCAACATTTTTTTAACCCAACATTTGGGTTTATATATATTATATTTATTAAGATTTATTTAGATTTATATTAAGGCTGTCAAACGATTAATTGTGATTAATCACATCCAAAATAAAAGTTTGTGTTTACATAGTATATGTGGGTGCACTGTGCATTATTTTGTATATGTATAAATACACACACACATGCATGTATATTTAAGAACAAAAATATTTATATATATAAATTATATATAAATCTATATACAGTATATACATGAAAATATTTCTTAAATATGTACAAGCATGTGTGTGTGTGTGTGTGTGTGTGTGTGTGTGTATATATACAGATGCAAAAGCCTCTAAATGCCATTTGAAATTTTCTTCTAAAATGACCATTTTTATCAAGCTTGTATATGTAAGTTCAGTAATTTCACTCTAATGACAATTAATAGGTAATCTTCATTGCCATTTAAGTGAAATTACTGATCTTAAATATACAAGCTTGATAAAAATTCCAAATGGCACTTAGAGGCTTTTGCATCTGAACTCTTCATATAATATATATATATATATATATATAAATAATTATACACAGTGCATCCACATATATTATGTAAACACAAACTTTTATTTTGGATGCAATTAATCACGATTAATTATTTAACAGCCCTTTAATATATATATATATATATATATATATATACTTGAATTAAATGTTATCTAAAATAAAATATTTATAATAAATCTTAGACTTATTTAATTTCTCATTTTCATTTAGTTTACCTTGATGTACTAAAATAACTACAAATGAACTATACATATACATACATACATACATGTTAAAAAATATATAAATGACAAACACAAAATAAAATTACTTCAACTTTAACAAAAATGTAAAAGAAACTGGAAAAATTAGGAGAAAAAATTAATTCAAACTATTAATATAAACTATAATTGTCTTTCAATGATACTAAAATCTACCTTTATGTTTTTCATAATTTTCTACATAAAATGTAAAATTTTTGTCAACTAAATTCAGAACTTTAGAAAGTTTCGTCAGAAGGCTAAATCTATGACTATAACAAATAATAAAATGAAAAATCAGTGTTTCCATGCAAAACGTTAATATTTTAATTTTTTTCAAAAATCTATGCAACAATGATTTACAAACAAAGAAGCTAGCATGAACAAAAACAAGACTGCGGAAGATGCCTTGTGTTTCATGAATGACGCCACCTGAACGACAAAATCCGTTACTCTTTTTTGTATTCATGTCAAATAAAACATTGTCAACTGTGGCCGAGCTCTCTCTCTCCTTATAATACACAATTAACTTTCATTTCATTCTCCTGACGATGCATTGCGAATAGTAATCGACTCTAGATAGTCCTCCCCCACGAATATCTTCTCCAATGAAGATTTGTGATGGAGAACCACCAGTAACGGCACAGATTTAGTCTAAGACTGTGTTTAATCTTTGTTCGGGAAACCAAGCCTTGATGTATTGATTTCACAGTGAGGAGATCTACACCACAGGCCTTCATTCATTTACTATGCTTCAGAGAAAAAACAAGAGAGGGGAAAAAGAAGAAAACAGAGGATGTCAAAGTCATCGTTTAGCTGATCTTATACTGGAACGTGATTAAGCATTACATGATCATCATTCCACAGATGTTCACCAAAAGCCCTGCATTTGGATTCAACCCACAATGAGAGACGTACCATTTAAGGCTAGTCCAATGAAATGGCAAACTGTGGCATAAATTAATGAATCAAACAGATGAGGGCTTTTTAACTTTCTTTTTTGATACTACACCGATGTTACACTTTGATTTAGGAAATTTGCCAGTACTTGGAACTACTGCCAGAAACATACTCTACACAGGTATTTAAATGCAGACACAAATGCCTGGCCAACGAACAGAAAAAGGGCATAACCTCAATAATCAACAGATTCAATTATTGTTCTGCCATAATAGTAGCTAATCTGAAAAAAAAAAAAACTGGATGTAGTAAAATATAATGTAAGAGCTAGCGCCCCTTGTGGTCAATATGTTTACAGCGAAGCAATAAAATCTTTTTTTGCTTCGCTGCTGTGGCGAGCAGGACGAGGCCGAGGGAGAACGGCGTGAGGTTGGTGGCGTGATTAATGTTGAGCAAATGTATCTCTCACAGAGGAGCGGAAGTATAAAAGGAGGAGCGACGATAGTGAAGGTTGAGAGAGGCCAGGCCTGGATTTTACGTCGTGTTTTGTTTCTGTTTTATTATGTGGCAGCAGTCGTCCGTGAGGGACTGCTGCCTATCCTTTCATTTTGTATTTGTTTTATTTTGTTATTAAAAGTCTGTTGAATGTTCGCCGGTTCCCGCCCCCTTCTTCCCACAACAACATACTGCGTTACTGCAGCATTTCCAAAAGTGTCAGAACACAATATAAGATATAGTTTGTGTAGCAAGGAATGTTTATTTGTGACTTGTAACTATACTGTTCGAAATGCTGGCAATTGTGTTTCATGAATGACGGCAACTGAACGAAAAAATATGTTACTCTTTTTTTATTTTTTTTATTCATGTCAAATAAAACATCGTCAATTGTGGCCGAGCTCTCTCTCTCTCCTTATAATACACAATTAACTTTCATTTCTTTCTCCTGAATACGTATTGCGAATAGTAGTCGACTCTAGATAGCCCTCCCCCACGAATATCTACAATAAAGATTTGTGATGGAGAACCACCGGTAACGGCGACCTGATGGTTGCATAGGTTTAGGAATGGACCTTCATAGTTAGGTGTTTTCACCTAACACAGTCTCATCCCAAAAAGTCATATAACTGACGTTTTGGGACGTATTTTGACCATACGTCAATATCCGCCTTTTTAGGGCCCCCTTAAACGTCGCTAGATGGCGATCCCGGGCCGTCATACAACTGACGCTTTACCTTTAACGTCAGTTAGGTGACGGGTTAGGTTTAGGGGTAGGTTTAGGTCTGGGGTAGAGTTAGGATCCCATAACCTCATCTACCGACGTTTAAGGGGGCCCTAAAAAGGCGAATATTGACGTATGGTCAAAAGACGTCCCAAAACGTCAGTTATATGACGTCTTGGGATGAGACCGGGTTGTTTCACCATGATATTAATTGATCCGAAATCAAAAAGTAGAATATAAATTAAGCTACCTACAACTATAGCACCACCTGTGGTAACACTGAAAATGAAATGCACACGGTAAGTTACACAAACTCTGTTTTTGGTTCCAAAAAGAGATTATCAAGGAACATTTACTCAAACGGCCAGTAGAGTTATCAACATGTTATGATTCTGTTAGCCACCTAAACATGTCGACAGATTAGCTAACTTTAGCAAGCTTTCTCAGCCAGGATATCTTTAGAACTGTTGTTCTGGCATAAAAGTAGTTGATCTGAAATTGAAAACCAATTGTAGTAGATAATATTTTACACTAACAACAACTAAAGAACCCCTTGTGGCAACGCTGACACAAAAACACAAAATTTGTCAAACAAGGAATGTTTACTCAAGGGCGATAGAGTTATCAACGTGTTATGATTCAGTTAGCTACCTATAAAGCTATATTAGCACTCTAGCACTTGTGGCAACGCTGAGAATGAAACGCAAAGGTTGAGCTACTGCCTTCCCAAAAGTGTTAGAACGCAATATAAAATCGAATTTGCATGGCAAGGACATTTCCATCCACATATTTGCGTTAGAAAATCCGTTTGGGCCCTACTTGTTGCAGCTAGGCTCTATTTTATCGATCGATCGATCAGATCCCTGCAACAGGAAGTCCAGCCAAGCTTGTTCTTGATTTATTGTTTGGATGTTGTGATCTGAAGATAGCACTTTTAGGACATTGCAACATACTTTTCGATTCGTTTTGTGCACTGTGTTTTTTCGAGAAGACATTTGCAGCAGCGGAGACCCCGTGGAGCTCAGAGCGGGTCTGTATCCTTCTGTCTGGCTCTGGTCCTGAGGCCAAGCTCTGGCAAAGGCCCAGAGACCTATTAGCAGGCCAGTTCTGAAGAGAGCTTTGTTTCGCAAGAGATTAATTTAGAGCCAAATAAATGCCAACAACTGTGTGTATTTGTGTTTTGTAGCTCCAGGACCTAGAGTTGGCCGAAGTAAGGAACAAAACTCCCCCAAAAATCATCTCATCAGTAGCTGACACACTGTTTACTAATCACTGTGACACTCTCCAAGAGATTGCGCCATGTTCAGACAATTGCACTTGCTCTGGGGATAAACAGAGCTAGCTGTAGAATTTAACAATGCAATATATCCAGATCATTAATACATATGATTTACGACTCGTCGCATTTAACAAACCATTTGCTTGAAAACATCAAGTCTTGTAGTGATGCATTCTGTGGGTTTCTAAACTGCGGTTTTTGGATTGTAACCTAAAGGATTGTGAGAAAGATTGCAAGATCTAATACAGAGGGAAAACAAACAAACCCAATAGTGACATAAAATCTCAAGACGCATCCACAAAATCTAATAAGTCAACAGCGGGGACAACGGGAACAAAGAGAATCGCTCACCTTGCCTATGATGCTGCCGACCTCCTGTGAAAAGAGAAACAAAGCAAATGTCAGCTTATTGATTAGCGAGCTCACTCCCCGCTCATCTGTCTGTGGGTTTTGATGAGGTAGGCTGGGTCTGGAGTATCTGTGCACTTGGGATCACGTGGAACCATATTAGAACAGGGCCCTCCAGGCTCCGGAAGCACTCTGTACCGTTTAAATGTCCCATCTTAGGTTTAAAGTCAGCACAAAATGGTGTCTATGGCTCAATCCCAATTCACCCCTTGCCCCTACCCCTCCGTATTGCGCATTCACGTCTAGGGGTAGGGTGTCCCGATTCTTGTTGAGATCGAGGGGTAGGGCGAAGGGGTAGGGCTACATAGCCTTCGAAACAGAGATTTTTCAGAGGCACACTCCAAATGGAGGGCTACGAGAGAGTTCGCAGAATACATCGCTAATCACCGGCGAGATGGCTTCGCAAACGGTTAAACATTTAAAAATTGCGCCAGATGACACCACCATGCACTTTATTTACCATTATAATAATACTTTAGTCATTTACATGAAGAAACTGTCAAATAAATTACCTTTCCGAATCAGAAAAGACTCGAACTCCGTAACGGCAGAGCCATTGCCGACGACTGATGACGTATCGGGTTAGTGAAGGGTTGTTCCATTTCATAAGGGAATATTTCAACCCCTTGGCCCTTGTAACTCTGTTTTAAGGGCCAAGGGGTACACTCGAAAACAAGGGGTAGGGCCAAGGGGTGAATTGGGATTGAGCCTATAACCCCATTTGATTAATGTTACCAAAATGTGTGATATCTAAGAACAAATCTATCAGGTACGAATTTGAATTGTTAAAGTTGTCCCCATAGTAGTCAAAGTCATTTTAAAGACGGAGCGTGTTTTAATCACATTTTATTTTGATGAAATATTTAAAAGCCAAACTTTTCTTCTTTAGATTAACATGCACTGATTATTTGTTCAGTAGTTAAAGGGTTAGTTGCCCCAAAAATATAAATGTTGTCGTTTATTACTCACCCCCATGTCTTTCCAAGACTTTCGTTCATCTTCGGAACACAAATAAAGTCTGAGAGCTTTATGGCCCTCCATTGACAGTTTACGCAACTACCACTTTCAAGACCCAGAGAGGTAGTAAAGACATCATAAAAGTAATCCATGTGACTTCAGTGATGCAACCTCGATTGAGACGCCAGATTTGATTAAATTCTCCTAGAGATCTCTTAGATTTCATTAAATCTTCATTTGTGGTCCGTTGATGAACTGTCTTACGGGTTTGGAATGACATGGGGGTGATAAATGAAAATGAAAATCACACCCAAGAGGGTTAAAGCGCAAAGCACATTTTAGATTATCAGGTGGCTCAACACTCTCTTATCGCAATTTAGCTATTTAAAATGTTGCTGAATTGGAGGCAATTCTACGAAATTCCTACGAAATTTGCACCCCATAAAACAGTGATGGTTTCTCGTGAGATTGGGTGTTGCTTTTGATTTGTGTTAACTGGCTGAAAACAGTATGAAGGAAGATGTCATGCACCGCTTATTGAGCTGTTGCATCATGTACGAATGTTTCTAGAAAAGTTTTCAGCAAGGATGTCTGCTTTGAGCTGCCAAGAATGTAAGGGATCACTTAAGTTTTGAAGGATCTCTGTTTATCCTCATTGAAAGATCAAGTTACAATCTGTTGATAAATTGGCACATAAATCATATAAATGTGGCAGTTTATTAACGGTTCATTATGTTTTCATTGGTTTTTCATGACTGTTTTTAATGACTCATTCCTTTTAAGAGATATGCAAATGAGAAATATCAAGGAGTTATAGGCACGTGGGAGGAAATCTGTCACTGGCAGCTGGCTGACAGTTAAACGAACATGTTGACAACACTGTAATGACAATCTACAACCATTTGTTTACTAATAACTTGAATTCAAGTAGATTTAAAACATTTGGAATCAGTAAAATACAATGAAGACTCTAACAGCAAATAATCATGTTAAATCAGAGATTGTATTACATTATCTCTGTATTGATAGATTGAGCCACTTAGAGTAGGCGTGAAAGTGGTCTACCGACACTGTTTTCATTAGAAGTTTCGGTACAAAGCAATATCACTTTGAAATGTACATGTCGATGTCGGGTTCCTACCCCCAGTGTCATCTTGCACTGAAAACACTAAATGTTTGTGGAGTCTAAGTGCGTTTACCTTTCCGTGCATGAGCAGCCGGAGAGTTAGAGTGACGTTCATGCCCCCATCTCCAAAATCCTGCTCACAGTTCATCCTGACGTGGGATTCGGACCCAGGGAGACGCATGAAAGATGCTCTACGGATGATGGAATGGGCAGGGAGGGGGGAAGCAGGACTCTTACTTTCCACTCACCGCTCTGGAAAGACAACACAAAACATTTGTCAATAACTTAAAGTGCCCATATTATGCTATTATAAATGTTGATAATTTGTTTTTGAAGGTCTCCTACACAATAGATTTACATGCATCGATGGTCAAAAAACACTTTTCTCATAATATGCATTGCAGATCACCTCATTTCTCAAAGTGTTTCTGCTCTGATTAGTCAGATGACCCAGTCTGTTGTGATTGGTCTACTCTGCTCTGATTGGTCAAATGGTCCAGTCTGTTGTGATTGGTCTACTCTGCTCTGATTGGTCAGATGGCTCAGTCTGTTGTGATTGGTCTACTCTGATCTGATTGGTCAAATGGTCCAGTCTGTTGTGATTGGTCTACTCTGCTCTGATTGGTCAGATGAACAGTCTGTTGTGATTGGTCTACTCTGCTCTGATTGGTCAGATGACCCAGTCTATTGTGATTGGTCTACTCTGCTCTGATTGGTCAGATGACCCAGTCTGTTGTGATTGGTCTACTCTGCTCTGATTAGTCAGATGGACAGTCTGTTGTGATTGGTCTACTCTGCTCTGATTGGTCAGATGGTCCAGTCTGTTTTGATTGGTCTACTCTGATCTGATTGGTCAGATGGCCCAGTCTATAGTGATTGGTCTACTCTGCTCTGATTGGTCATGAAAGGTAATGTTCAAAAAAGCCTAATGGGGCACTTTAGTTCATATTTTAGTTTTATTTAACCTGTTGCAGAAATAAAAACTGCTTCTATATTTATGTTCTATATTTATATTTATGTGCATTTTGCCTTCATTGGGACTTCATTGGGAAAGATGGATGGGATTGGGAAACAACCCCAACCCAGATTCAAACCAGTGTTGGTTTCTATTTGCCTTGACAGGAGTCAGCGTGTCTCACAGTGGTAAATAAGACGATCTGTAATAGCCACGCCATCTGTTCTTGTGTGCAAAGTATTCAGTTAAGTGAGGACAACCATGACAAGTGAATCCAACAATGCCTCAGCAGCTGAATGATGACAATGAGGTGTTCTGTTACAGTGCCACCAAAGTCAGCATCACCAATTTAGCCAATCTCACAAAGCAGGAGAGGGCGACTGTAAGTGCTTGTTGAAATGATCCCCACTGCATGCTCCACGGTTTTTGGTGAAGGCCCAGAAGTGGAGTAAGAGGTGAAGCTAGTTTTGGCAATTTTGTTCTTTTTGAAACAAGAAATTGCAGTTTTTGTGCACCCCTGCCTCTACATGAAAGAAAAACCACAGGTTCTATCGAGACCATTTGATGGCTTTTTTAGGCAGTGTTGTGTGTAAAGAGCAGTTGGAGATATTCAAGATATAAAGCAAGTCTGCAGTAATAACTGTATATGCATTCTACAATCCCGGAATCACACATACCAACAACAGAGATGGTTTTTGGAGGAAGGATGTCATGTGGTGCGACCAGTAAAGTCATGAAATCCAACCAACACTCTGAATGAGAAATGATATTATAGGCCCTTCGCCCTTATGAATATGTCAAGGTCAAAAATATCAGATAATTTGACCTTTTTAAATGACAAGGCAAGGTTAGTTCAGGTTGTAAAATGCCATGTGGTGCGCTCTCCACAAAATGTTGATAGAGAAAAAGAGTTGATGTTGAGAAAGAAATACTAAGCATTGTGTGTTTTGCTTGTAACGACATCTCCCGAGAGATCGGAAGCAAGCTTACTTAGCACTCACAAATTTCAGTCAGCTTCTAAACGTCCCCAAAATTAGACTGCATGAGTCATAATTTAAAACTTGATTGGCAAGTGTTGTTGAATCTTTGGGGTGAACGAAACAAGCTCTCAAGTCTCAGAGGACCTGCTACATCAGACGTCTCGAGTCCTAAAACAGCAATATCACAGCATGCTAATGGTAGACTTGGTTGAGCAGTTGATGATTCATAGAATCAAACACACCAACATCTGCTCGTCGTAACACCGCTCACCCACATTGCGGTTTTCTGAAATCTGCCGGCAGGTTAATTAAAACCGCAGTTGATGTGGCCGCTCAATTAAAGGTGTGGGTGTGTGTTTTCAGATAACACTGGAAGACATCCAAGATTTGACGTCAGTCGGGGCTCCAAAAAAAGTAGGTCAGGAATCTAAAAAGCAAAGCAGAAGCCCACGAGGGGCATTGATGAGGCCGTCGTATAGGAGTTTAGCAGTGTGTCATTTGGACACTCATGTCCACGGGTGGTGCTGGCATATGCATGTCATTAGTGCAAAGCGATCGCTACTTGTGCCTGTCTCGTTTTCTTCTCTTCCCTCAAGGCGATCCACCAACCTATTAGAAGAAGAGACAGCGGGTTGAACAGGAGATAGAACGTGCACACTGGTTTGCACCTGTGGTTCTCAGGGATTTTGCCAAGTTGAATATGTTTCTGGATCTTCTGTTGGTCCTGTCACAACATCCTGTTAAGCAACTGCCAAAGCCCTATAAACTAGGACCGTATGAAACGGGGTTGTCTTAAAATATTATGTTTTACTAAAAATACTTAAAATATAAAATAATTAAAAAATATAAACATTAACTGAAATAAAATACAATATAAAACAACTTACACATGTTTTCGTTCCACTGCAATATTTCTCATTTTTATTTAGTTTAACGACATACTAAAATAACTAAAACTGAAATAAGAATTTCTAAATAGACTATATAGATATTACTATATATTATACTATTACTATACTAGATATTACTCTACTATATAGAAATTTAACAGTTTTATTAAATAAAAAACAAATATAAAATATAATATAAATATAAAATCTAATATGAAAATCAAAAATGAATATTAATTAAAAGATTAATAAATCGATTATAATATCCCAGTTATACTAAAATAACACTGCTATGACAGTTTGTTTTATTTTTTTCCTGATTTCTGTTTTATTTTATTTTTCTAAATTCCATGCTTTCTATTTTAATTTCTCTGGATTCTGTTTTAATGGTTTAAATCAATTATATTAGTCAAAAATGATGTCTATTTAATTAATATCCAGTGTTGTAGTCGAGACCACCTCACTCGAGTCCGAGTCGAGACCGAGATCAGAGAGAGTCGAGTCCGAGTCGAGTCCGAGACCAGAGACGGTCGAGTCCGAGTCGAGACCGAGACCAGTGAGGGTTGATTACCTAATTTACTTTTATTTACTTAGAGAAATCCTTTTTTTTGTACTGAATTTACTTAGAGTTTAAAAAACATGATCAGTTTAGGGTAAAAAGGCCACATTGTAGGTGGTGTTAAAAGTAATTTTATTACAATTTGTCATGCGCAGTTGCGCACTAGAAAATCACCAATCACTGGGCGTGTTAATCAATTTAAAGAAATATTTTATTAACATACATTAATAATCATGAAAAATATTTTGAATTGAACTCGAGTGGACTCGGGATTCGGGAATAAGTCCGAGTCCTAAAAAAAAATGTTCGAGTACGAGTCAATTCCGAGTCCAAATGCACACGAGTCCATGACAAGACCAAGACCATTAAAATATGGTCTCGAGACCGAGTCCGAGACGAGTCAGAGTCTCGAGTACTACAATACAACACTGTTAATATCTTAATATTATAACAATTGTATTATGTTTTAAAAAGTTTAACAATAGTGCCCTATGACATGTATTTTCTTTTTTTTAGAGTTTTTTTTTTTTTGTGTGAAATAATTTTCAGAATTTTTGAGGGGATATTTCAGTGTTTTATGAATTAATATAAATTTAGTATAAAAAACTATAGTGATAAATCTTTTTTTAAGTATGAAATTTGAACAATTCCTTTCATTTTTTTTACCAAACAAAGTACAAAGGTTTGCTGTTTAAAGATGACTTTTTTATTTCCTTTTAATAAACAGTATTAATAGTATTATCACTTTAAGAAGTCCATTATACTGCACAATATTACATGTCTGTCATAATTTCTTTAAACTAAGCCAAACTTTTATTTTGGCGGTTTGTATCTGTGTGTCTCAAATGATAGTTTTTTTGAAATAGTGAAATGCTTATGAAGTGACTCTCAGAGAAGCTCTGGATATGAAATTAATGTCTTCATATAGTGAAACAACACTGAAAACACCATGAGAGTTACACGTTCTTAAGTATTATTCAAAGACAGACAGCAGCCATTTTGTAGTTTAAAATCCACAGACACTATACTGATGTCAAGAGTGTCAAAGCCATTCTAACTTAGTTTACTATGACTTTGGCAAAGGCTCTTTTGGGTGTTGCCTTGTTCCCTGCCCCCGTTCACCCACCACCACTAAACCACAGCCCAAACCCTAAAGCCAGAAATGTTGTTCCGGGACCAACAACGTTTATGCATCCTACTGTTTATCTTCCTACACTGTAAGATTATTTACACCTGTAAGAACCTGCTGTTGCAATATCTCTGTTGGAACACAATCTCTCATCTATTTAATGCTAATCACTTGTAAATCTCTCTACTCTTTACACACACATCTAACGAAGATTAATTAGCAGTGCTAATTGAGGCTTCGCCACCCTGTAGTGTGTGACAATATGGATTGTCAAGACTGGCCAGTCTATTACAGAAGAGCTCTATGTTATATGCATCTTAATGCATCTCTACACTATTGAAAACATAAAATTGATCTTTTTCCCATCAATATTTGGTGAAATTTCGCTACTGTGGCATCAACCATCAACCAAATTTTAGCTCTTTATTATCACCCAGATTTATCCTTGTTTGGACATGCACAGATTTGAATAAGCATTTATGATGCTTGGTGTTTGTGAAAAGGTGTTTGCATGGCCTAAAACTCGGATTAAAGCAAAAATATACAAATGTGCTATTCAAACACAATCTCGCGGCAATTTGTACGTATTTGACGAGGTGGCTAATTCGTACGAATTCATACAACCTCACTTCGTAAGTATTTTTGTAACTTACGAAGATCGTAACACTTCGCAAGGAACCTACCGAATTTGTAAGATTTTTGCTAAATCATACGTTTTACGACTTGCCCAATTCGTACG